CGTTGACCCAAAGTAACCGAAAGCCTTTCTCGCCCACAAGCCAAATCTAACACCCTCTTTCGAAAAGGTTACTTGTCATACATTACACGAGGTTTAGAATTTTGGAGCGACAGAGTCGCAATCTTCCGAACCTAACAATATGTAGAACATACTGTGCAACATTTTATCTGCATTGATAAAGGTTAAGGTCCAAAAAAATTTAAGGTATATAACCTGTTTTATAAACTTTCAAAGTAATTCGGTAATCAGAGAAGTAATTCAGAAGTTAGATGAGAGGTATATGAAAGGTGTGTTTGAACATTTGAGTTTTAGGTTATAGATACAAAAAGTCATTAAAGTTGGCAATTTAAGTTGTCTTATTGTCTTTATTTGTGAAAACTAATTCTTCATAACACAACTAATAAAGAAACCTGACTATTATCTAGGCTAATAACAGGTAATATGAAGTTAGGAGTTATGTATAGAGTTTATAGGAGAAGAGTTAAAATGAAGTTGTGCATTGTAACTATATAACGATTAAGATTAGTTTGATATTAGAACAAGTACTGTGTTTTTTTGGATTCTTTCATTATTAGTTATTAGCGTTCTAATAGTGATAAACATTTAATTCTTGTATTTTCCATTCTTTTTCGGATTTGTTTTTTTTCTTCTTCTTTGATTCGAGTTTTTTCTTTAATAAAATTTTGATTTGTTAGAATTTCGCTTGCGATAATATTACAGTTTTAGGTTTAAAGTTATCGATATTTAATAGTAAAAACTTCTTCCGGTATTAATTTCGTCACGTAGAATAAAATTTTCACGATATCATGGGATGATTTACAAAAATTGGCCAATCACAACGAAAGCCAGCTATGCTCTTTACAATCTTATACCTTAATTCCGCCCGGCACTATTAGCTCCAGCCAAAATCATCCCAAAATTTTTTCATTACAGCTATTTTCATAATTCCTGGAGCACCTAATAAAAATTGGCCGAATGATTTTTCGGGCAATCCGATTAAGTTATTGATTTCGGTTTGATCGGATGCGTATATAGATTACTTATATACATATTAATTACATTGTAATTTGATATATATATATGTTTTCGCATAAACAAAACGCATTAAGCATGTTGAGCAAGTATTCAAATGAAGATTTATTAATATTGAATGTGTCGACATTTATAATGTTAGAATTATCTGTAGAAAAAAACTTTTGTAATGCAGGTACAATAATCATGAGCCATTGCATTAGTTAACAGCTAATGTAAAAGTTACATACTGTACGTACGTACGTGCAGGCAGAAGCGCACGAAGATCGGCAAGCCCGAGAGATCCAAGCCCCTATTGAATTAATGACTCCGATCCTGTAAAGAGAAAAGCCACCCACCCGATTTGGTTTGACAGATGTCAAGGTAATATTACCTTGTCGGGATAGCGCGATTTAGTCAATAGGTGGGAACATACTAAAATAACGAGAATGGCGTGAACAATTCTTCTGGTCTTCTCATTTTCTGTATAAAAGACTTTGTTATTGTAGACACTCAAAAAAAGTAATAATAAATAAGAGCCTAATTCGCTCCTATAAAGTTCTTTTTGAGATTTGTAACGCATAATTGTACCCGCGTAACTCAATCCAAGTCTTAGACCCCGCCTCTGAATCGTTGAGTAACGTTGAGCGATGCCTTTCTTTTGTTGTGTGTGTTATCTATTTTTACCTCCGACAATGTATACAATATTGGAATTTTTATGCCGAATCACAAACTTAATCGAATCGGTCAGGGCATCATTCTGACAATTTTTATCAAGTATTCCAGAAACTATGAAAATAACTGTAATAGGGAGAGTGGGAGAGTCAAAAGAGGGGGTAACGTAAACTACCGAATTAAATTGGTCTGACCTTATTAAGGAATCTGATCATTTTAAACTGCTTGAAAATATATTTTTGGTGTATAGGTAAGATTTAATATGTTACAATAAGGTTAATGTTTATATAGCTTGATTTGGAACTTCGATTTATAAAAATCAAGAAAATCAATTTTACTAAGCTCTCAAATTTTGTTTCAAATTATCAAATTATCAAATTATCAAATTGTTTGGATAAGTATACATTATTGGGCAGACGACAAAAAATAACAGGCAATGTTTTTTGTCGGAGTTAAGTCACCCCATGTGCTGAGTAGCAGTACATGAGTGAAAATTAACTCTAATGGAAATAAAATAGCCTGTTACGTATTTGTCGTACGTTTTTTCTGTGATATTTTGCAAAACTGATTACATAATTTCGTGCAAAAAATATCATGATAAAAAAATTCACATCATCATAGTTCATGATTAGAACACACCAGTTTGATTATCTAGCCATCATTCGATTGAGCTAATTTGTTTACTTTCATGTGAAAGTAACATACAAGAATTGTAGGTATATCTTGAAATTTTTAACATACTTTTAAGGAAAAGAGATGGACACAAAGAAACACAAGACGAATAATGGCCTATTAAAATAGCAAGTCTGGCTAAATGTAGAAAAACTAAATCACTATTTATTATCGGATACTATCTATGAAATCCGATAGTCGGATATAGTTTTTCTCGTTTAGCAATTCATTTAGCATTTTATTTTTTATTAAAACCATTCATTTGATTATTTTCTGTTTTTTCTTCTTTTTAAAAGTCATTTCACACATTTAATTATACTCACCATGTGGATATTTAATATTTCTCGTTCAATGGTAAATACTTTACTGCAGATTGCAAAATAGATTTAACGTACATACGTACATACATATGTACGTTTCATATCGGTGTGAATAACGCAAACATAAAAAGGAAACACTAAACAAATATGTAAAGCTGGTTGAAAAAAATTGCTTGTTACTTGTTCATTACAAACTTGTTTAGTGCTTCACAGTCAATTTTGACACTATTTGAGCTTTGGTTATTCATTTAAAGTTTATATTACTCCAACAAATCTTTGAAACTAGATACTTACTTCTACATACTTATTACTATAACGTAAATGAATGTGGTAAATCTGTTTTCTCAGTAGCATTTTTTTATTAAAATTTTGAAATGACAGTTTATATATTTCTCGTGCTTTTCATCTCAACTCTTTTTTATATCATTACTCTCAAATGAGTTTTAAGAACGGATTAACTATTTTAAATCAAGGGTTATAAAATCCTAAGTAATTTGGTTTGCCGATCTAGCAATAGAGAGTTAATTCAATTTTTGCAATTTATCCTTCAATTTTAATCATTAGTTCCTAGAATCAAAAAGATTTTGGTTGTTTAGACTTGTGATTGGTTTTACAGTATTCCTCCTCGTTATGTCATATATAGCATATCTCATATTTCAAATTTCCACTGACAAGCCATTGATTCAATTAACAAATGAATACCTAGATAAACTTGGTATTCCAGGTATTTACTGTATTATTTATGCTAAAATTTATATAAACAATTTAATGATATTAACTAATTCTTTTGTTTCTCCAAAGATATAGAAATATGTTGTAGTCTAAGTGATATTCAAATAACAAAATGTGTTTTCAATCTTGATGATTGGACTTCAATTGAATATGACAATTGTACCAAGTATATTCAACGTTCTTGTGTAGAATACAACATATATTGCTATCTTTTTGAAACCAATTATACCGATTTTTTTGGTAACCCAGACCCAAACATTAATGTTATGGGACCATGGGTGAGAAACATCGATTTTTATTTCCAAATAAATAATATTACAAACGTGACTTCCAGATTCTTGTCTGTAGGTGCCATTTCCGTGCAATTAATAGATCCAGGTATGTTAATTATAGTTTGTGTTTATATATAAACAACCGTACTATTATAATTATAATTATTATTATTATTAAAAATCTTAATCGATAATTTACAGAATTTAACCCTTTATGGAAAGGAAAAGCAGAAACTTCCGTAGATTTATATGTAACTCAAATTCTAAAATTACAAATGAACGCATTTTCAGGTATTCAAAATATGTCAACTCTGGTAAAGTATTTATGATTTATTTTCATAAATGTAAAATTTCTAGATTTAATTTATTTGTAAAAATATTTAGGCTTATTTTACAAAACAAACCATCCAAACTATTTTACCTCATGATATTTCTGCAATTTTGGGGGTGACTCCTAATTATCATAAAGTTTCTTACTTAAACGTAATATCAAAATATTTTCCAATGCACCCAAATGATAATGTCTCTGATGGTATTTTTGATGGTCACTTTAGTGTTGCTCCGGGTAGTTTTATTCATGATGTGCAGTCTGAGAAACTGTAAATTTATAACCTATTTAATATTTGTCATTTTAAATTGTTTTAAAAATAATTATTTAATATCTTCTTTTTTTTTTTTATTAGTTCACATACTGTTCTTATTGCCTTGGGTGTGCTTGGTGGTGGTTTTGGTGAGTTTAAAAATTGAATCATCATAAAATAATAAATACTTATAATACTATATTTACCTGATGCATAATCTTGATAGGGTTAATGAGTGGAATCTATATCTTACTTTTTGGACGACCAAGAAATAATCCTTGGTAAGTTGTAAAAGCCTACATTGAATTTTTCTAAAGTTCTAACAAATTTTTGTTTCATCTTTTAAAAGGGGTTTAATGCTTTGATAATGAAGCCGAAAATAGAAAATAATGGTTATCGTAATATAGACTTATCTAATATGCCATTTGTTTCAAAAACTAATTCAATAATTGAAGATCATATTCCTACTGAAAAAAAAGTAATTAGGTTAGAAAATAGAATTTTAGCATTGGAAAAGATTTTAGAAGACTATGTGATTAACCCATACGCTTTAAGATTTTTGAAACTAACTCCCAAAGAGCCTGATAAAAACTAATTGCTTTACATGTTCTTCGAATCATATATTGTACTTATATTAATAATTTGATTAAAATTTGTATATGCTAAACACTTTTGAATATCTATATTACTGTATGATTCATTATGAATTAAACAATTACTATCTATCCGTGTCCAGACAAAATATATTGAAGTTGTAAAATCGCGTTCTACGTCAACTGATTAATTCTTGTGAAACTAACACTAAATAAACATTAAATAGTTTTTTCATTCTTATTGGGTTTACTGCAAAACTTTTAACTTCAACTAGATAGCTGCGCGACGTAATTGTTGCGTCTGAAGTAGCGATTTATCTAAAGTAGCGCCTGGCTAAAATTATGCCCCTGAAATTAGATCTCATGCATGCGTTAGGTTATAATTTAGCCAGGGCACTACTTTAGATATATAAAGTGGCTACTTTAGACAAATCGCTACTTCAAATGCGACATAATCACACTGAAACTAGAATTCGAAACTGTTTTTCTTATACGTAAAACCGGTTTGGATTAGTTTAGTTAAATATACCATGTGACATTATGTATCAGATACGTACTACGTACTTATGTGACGAATGATAGATGAAAAGGTCACAGAATTTGACATGATGACCATGAGGACTGATCAGATTTAAGAGTTTTTGATTTAATTAGAAGGTGGGATTTGCACGAATTATCGTTGTAGTTTTCTGAAATGAACATATATTTGGATTGCAATTTGATCACAATGAAATGTAATGCATATCATTTTTATTTAAATTATGTCATAATTTAATTTTATTATAGTTTATGTTAATGTTTTTTTCTACTTAGATTAGAATCAAAACTTAGTATGAAAGATAATGGCGAAAAACTTAGCAAGTAATGGTAACAAGTAGTTACTTGTTCTGTTATGAAATTTCCTTGCTTGAAGTCGTTTAAAACCTATATCGCGTAGTTACCCAGGCAAATCTAACATTGGTTTAATACATGCGTCACTACGTTCCACACTTGTATAAAATGTATAACATATCCGTATGTACAATCTAAATTGATGTCATTTTGTCTGAACAACCGAATAATATATTTCGCTAAACACTTAATAAATTTAAATTTATTTTATTATGAAGTTTATGAAATTCAATTTAGGCACTAAATACACTTTTCAAACTGAACTTCTTTTAATAAATCCCGGGAGTTCGGTACAGAGTTAGTTGAGGCTGTTAACCTCCATTACTTCTCGGCAATCGAAGTTAAACAAACCAACTAATAACATTAAGTGGTTCATTATAGTTATTAATGTACAGACAAGCGAGAGTGTTTTAGGTTTAATGATTTGGCGATTCAAAGAGTGTATGTTTGGTTTTAGGGACGATCGTATAATGTCCTCTATTTAATGGTATGATATACTCCAGAGTCACTCCGGGTTGACATTGGAGCAAGTTTATTAATTTGGAGCAACTCGGACAGGTTTGGAGTAGCCCGGAGTAAAGTCTGGAATAAAGTTAGTTTAATCGTGTAGGTTAGATATTGAATCAACCAACCCATTAAATCCTACTTTTATTTGCAATGGCAAATTTTACAAACTTGTATGTAAATTGGTGAGAATCCTCAATATGTCGCTTATGACTAGTGTTACGGCCTAAACCCTTTACCGAAGTCCGAAACGTTTCGGCTTTTGAGTTTTGGTTTCGCCCCAAATCCGAAACTGGGCGAAACGTCCGAAACTGGGCGAAACTTCCGAAACTGGACGAAACGTCCGAAACGTCCGAAATTGGGCGAAACTAGGCGAAACTAGGCGAAACTTGATATATTGCGTGACGCAGACTTCGATGCAACGATTTTTTAAAAGTCACGTGACCGCTGCATTTAAAATCGACCAATGGAATTTCTAAAAATTCCATTGGTCAATTTTATGTATGGTAGTCAAGTGACTTTTAGAAATTCCATTGGTCAAATTTAAGTGCAGAGGTCACGTAACTTTTAAAACTCGTCGTATCGCGGAAAGTCTACGGACACGTACCAGTCACATGACCCTAACCTAATTAAATGTTATGGACACGTACCAATCACCAATCTTAGTTTAGTGTACGTTCGATTTCACGTGACTCGTACGTGTCCGTAGACTTTCCCGTCGTATCGAAGTCTGAGTCACGTGATATATTAATTTTGATAGAGATAAGATCAAGTTTCGCCTTGTTTCGCCCAGTTTCAGTTTCGGACGTTTCGGACGTTTCGCCCAGTTTCGGACTTGGCACCTTGGACGAAACTAGGTTTCGGAGGTTTCGGAAGTTTCGCCTGGCCGAAAGTTTCGGTTTAGGCCGTAACACTAACAATGACACCCCAAATTTTACGTAATCACATGAATTTTGTAGTGATTTAATTGGTTGTGCTTAAGGCATGAATTTAGCTTTAGCAAAATATAAATTCAACTTTTGATGATTACATTTATTACATTTAACTAGTTTAACATCGGCTTTATTTTATACAAATATCAAGTAATTATTACTGAGCTTGACATATTTACGAGAAATTATGTTTCCTGATAGAAGTTACCAAAGACATCGTCTTCTCAAAAATAACATTAAGAACTTATTCTTTTGCATGTGATCATCTTCACTTATTGTATTTTATTTATTTAGATCATTTTCAAAAACTTCAAGAGAAATATTACACTTAATTAATTATCCATGCTTATTTTGATAAGTTTATTAAATAGTAATAGCTGTCGTACTGTTTCTTTTAAGAATATTAACTGATATTTATTATAATTTATAATAAACCGAAGATTGTACGAATCTAAAAAATATACATTGTTTATCGCTGTCTGCATGAATTCAAAAACAATCCATCGAATTTGATCAGGTGGTTGCCGAGATATCATCACTTAAAGTTGTTTTTAAAATGTTAAAATAGAAGCTGAGCAAAATTTTCCTAAAGTTTGAGCAAAGATATATCAGCAACCACCTGATCAAATTCGATCCACAGAATTCAAGTAAAAAAAATTTCATCAGATGGTTACTGGGATACCTTTACTGAAAATATCATCAAAAATCAAAGCTGCACTAAATTCTCCCTAAAACTTGAGCAAAGATATTTCAACAACTACTTAACTAAATTTGATGAATTTTTTTATTATTTAAATTTTATGGATCCATAGAATTCAAATAAAAAACAATCATCAATTTGATCAGGTGGTTGCTGAGATATATTTGCTCAAACTTATAAAAAAATTTGGCACAACTTCTATTTTAATTGACGTTTTGATATTATTAATAAATTTTGAGAAAATATATCTCAGCAACCACCTTATCAAATTCAATGAATTTTTTTTAGTTGAATTCTATAGATTTATAGAGTTCAAATAAAAAAAAATAGTTTATCAAATTAGTCAGATAATTGTTGAAATATCTTTGCTCAAACTTTAGAGAAAATTTGATGCAGCTTTGATTTTTGATGATATTTTTAGCGAAGATATCCCAGTAACCATCTAATCAAATTTGATCAAATTTATTTTTATTTGAATTCTGTGGAATTATAGAATTTGAATTAAAAAAAATTATCGAAATTGACCGAATGGTTGCTGAAATATCTTCGCTCAAACTTTAGGAAAATTTGGAGCAGCTTCTATTTTTACATTTTAATGAAAACTTTGAGTGATGATATCTCAGCAATCACCTGATCAAATTCGATGGATTTTTTTTTTTATTTAAATTCAATAGATGCATAAAATTCAAATAAAAAAAGGTTTTTCGAATTTGATCGAGAAATCACGTACAATCAACAATCGAGCATTCAGAGATCTACAAATTTGATCAAAGTTGCATCAATATGCAAACAGCACTATTTGAAAGTGTGCCAGATTAGTGGTGTAGCAAAAATTCTTAAGGTTCGTTTATATTAGGATTAGGGTCAGATTAGAATTTGGAGGGTAGTTTATTGGCGATTTTTAACAAAACGGATCGTGTTAGATTTCACCTGGTCTTGAAATCTGATTCGTAGTTCAAGCAGTCGTTTTAAGAAACCGGCTTATATTAAAAGTTTTTTGTATATTTTTAAAAATCCAAAAACAGTCTTATTTGTCAGAAAAATACGTATCGATATTGGTAATTAAGAAATATTTATACATAATCATTTAAAAAAATCTTACATCTGTAAATAAATTATATAACTCAATAGCTGCGCGACGTCATCGCGCAAAACCAGAAACAAACTTGTGAACAGAAATAAAGTTCATTTGTATTTAGTTTAGATGTTCAGGAACTAAGACCATTAAGTTATAAATTCCATTATCAATATTCTTGTTTATATACTCGCTAATTATATCGTTTTTAGGCAAGGAAGCATCGTCAAGATTTAATAGTACATACTAGTATGAGTGACGCTTATTATTTAATAATAAACTTATTTATAAAATTTAACTGTAAATAAGTTTTAATATGAGTTCTGCCAAGGAAAAGGATATATCAGCACAAGTACCTAACAAATATGCACATGATTGTTTAAACTTGAAGCTCTCAACTAGCTTCACATGGTAATAGTTATTTTTTAAATAATTTTTTAAGAAACTTTGTAAAAATTATTTAAAATAATTAATATTTAACATTTATTTAAATTTAATAAACTATTAAAAAAAAGCAGTTCTATTACCATGGTGAGCTATTTGAGCTTCAAGTTAAAAAAAATTATATGCACTCTTGTTAGATACTTGTGCTAAAAAAGTAAATTTAATTTAATGGTTTTTTTTAATCGTATAGTATAAACCTAAGCTTTATTAAAATTATCCATTAACGTTAATGTTTGATTTAATTAGTTGAGGCACAACCCTAATACTCTATGGAGAGTACGTGTATCACCTGACTGAAGTTGTGACTATCTAGTGTAACTTGTCTGAAGGTGTCACTTGTCTGAAGTTGTAACTTTAGTCATTTAAATCACACCTGACCGAAACTTAGTCCTAAAATTAGATTTTGCACTAGGCACAACAAATACATCAATATGTTTTTCGAATAGGACAATAATCCTTTTTATTTTTTTTAATTAAATTTGGTTAAAAACTTTTTTTGACTTAATTATTTTATTTTTAATATAGAGCATCTTGGTTAAAGTTCATTTTGCACTGTCCTATTTCAATGAAGTTAAAAACAATGTATATGAACGCTACTAAAAAAAATTTTGTATAAATATAATAGCCAATAACGGCTTGCAAAACATAATTATTAATTGTATGACTAATCATTATCTGTACAATTAGTAAAATTCGAATAATCCATTACAGAGAAATTGATTCCTATTCCTAGTTCTATTATGTCCTTATATCTTGAATTATCCAATAGATTATATTTGTATGATATTAATGCGAATGAATGGATCGCTAACTTTTGGTGTAATAGGATGTTATGTTAGTAAACCCTAGTGCTAATCTTCGAGACCGATAATTTATTAATTCGAGTACCGCCAAGAGAAATCCCACAAATCTTATAAGTTTTACGATTTTCATTCGTAACTATAGTTTTTCTTTCCTAATGAATGTTATATGCTGCTCTTTACTATAACTAAAAAAAAAGTATGAATAACAAAAGTAGTCGCTTTTCTAACCCTAATATACATGCCAGTTCTGAATTTAATGCTGTATATTTAGTATTTAACAGCGCTTTTATATATGTTGACTCAATATCATACTTTCAAAATACCCTGACCACTAATGAAAGAATTAATTTATCTTATTGTTTTTGATTATGATCAGACTGCCAAATGACTTCGCTTTTTTTTTTTTGGTAACATTTAACAAAATAACTTTGTTATTTAGCTAAACATCGGAAATAGTCCGAATATAGTAAACTGATTGATAATATATTTTCACGTATAGATAAGGATCGAACATGTGGTAGAAAGTTAACTATAACAACGTTAATGTTTATATATCTCGATTTGAAAGCTTGGTTTACGAAAGCCAAGAAAATCGATTTTACTGAGTGAGGTCTCGAACGTTAGGTCCCATAATCAAGGCAAGTTAGTATAAAACAATCTTGATATTAATTCTTTAAAGATTGTTGTATTATGAATAAAGTATCTGCGTGCAAGTGGTACAAAACAAAAAATCAGAAAACATAATTCTAAACTAAACTAGTAAAAAGAGCTAAATATGGAATTTTGATTATATAATCGAATATATTCAAATATATTCTTATATAAATACCTATCATTTGATCAATGGTTCCCGTGAGTACATAGAGCCAATCTGTTTACTTTTATGTGAAAGATTATGCACGAGGCTTGAACATTTTAATAAGATATTAATTCCATGCTTGTACAAACCATGGAAGATGAAGTCCGCTGATAAATTCATCGCACAAAAACTAACTAAAATGAATATGCCGTAAAAATTAAAATATAAGAAATACCGTTTTAGACATTTTTTATAAATAGAAATCACCATTTTAAGTATTTAGGATTTATATAGGGAACATAGATAAAAAGTTTTCGGTTGTTCTACATTTTGTTTACTGCATAATATTCCCTAGACAAACTTATATATTCTGTAGATGTCTTTATATATCATTGCACAAATTTCCGAAAAAAAGGTATCATCGTTACAGAAAATGAACGATTATAAATCGTAAATATATATATATATATTGCTTCTAAACTATCAAATGAAATGATCCCTCAAAAAAAAATGCTGATATAAACATAAAATACACGACATATAAGAACCAATTGCCCTTAAACTTCAATATAGAATGAAGATAAATCAAAAAAAAAGTTAAAATATAACAATACTATTAATATTTCAAGCAGGAACATTAAATGCTTAAAGTGAATAATTATGTTGCCTATCGGTAAATCGTCATCTTCAGATTCCTGTCCAAAATTAAAGACCTATCTATTATTACTAGGGTTATAGACTAAATTTCAAAATTTTCTATTTCGAAGCTTTCTAGTTAGTGTAATTATTACGTATGGATACCATTAACATACAATTAATTTCTTTATTCACCTTCGAATTCACCTGCATTCATTAAAGTTGCGGTCTAATGTTCTGCCTATGCCCTATATTTTATATTAGAAAAATAATAATACGTAGATATCAGTCCAACATGCATTATACTAAGAGTCATAAGAACTTAAACTGAATTCTATGGACTTTTTCAAAAATTAATTCTCCACAAATGTTTTGATGACATTTCTTTAGATTTAATATTAAGGTAAAAGAGTTTCTTTTTGTGTGTTGTACGTAGATGAAAAACGATTATCGGTGAAATAATATGGACCTCACCAATGATGCCTTTGCATTGACACCACTACATATTATTTGTAACGCAAAACTAATGCAACTTTTCATGTGTTTAGTATGGTCACAACAATGACCGACATTAAATTTAGGCTGATTTTAGTAATGTCAGTTATTGTTATGTCCATAAACATTTAAACATTGTGTTCATAGCTTTTACTATATTTACCTTGAAGACGTCCTATTATGTCACATAAAATATTTTAGTAAAGGTCATAAAAATTGTGAACGTGACATGTAAAATGTCCTTACTTAATTGTTCAACAGCTGAATCAACATCAGAGACGACTAGTATTACTACATTAATATCGGGGACGATTAACATTGCTACATCGTTGGTCGAACGACTTGATCCATTAAATTGCAGCAAATCTAGAGACGTTAGATAGTTAATATAAAATGTGGTCAAGTTTCAATATATAAAATATAGTTTAACAACTGTTGCACATACCATCTAGATCCACATCATAATTGTCTTGATAATCTACAAACGTTTTTTAAGGTTTTTTAAAAAAACGAGAACATTTATATATGCACTTTGCATATATTATATTATAGCAAAAAATAATTTTTCGGCTTCACCTTGTGGGTAATTCAGGTCATCTAATTTTACATATAAAAATTGATCAATATTTTATTCTTTATTATAATATTAGAATAATTTAAGGTATACGGCACCTGCATTCACATCCGAATTAGCTTGAGGTGCTTGAGGTTCTTGAGGTTCTTGAGGTGCTTGAGGTGCTTGAGGTACTTGAAGAGCTTGAGGTGGAATTCCTGTATCTATGATCAAAGTAAGTAAAAACCGATTTAATTATTTTTGATTAATCCAACCCTACTAAAAGTAATAGCGTGAAATATTTTTTAACACAGCAATTACTTCCGAGATTATAAATATTAAATTTTCTTCTTACTTTCTAGCATATCCATCATATCTATTGTGAAATTAAAAAAGAATGATTTGATTTAAGTAATTAGGCTAAAGAAATAGTATAATTCCAATTGTTGCGATTAAAATGAAATCAGGTAAAATGAAATTTGGAATCTCTTTTGTCAATATAAAACCTATTTATTTACTTTCTACAACCCTAAAAAAAAAAAGAATAGTCAAAATTTTACACGGCATTCATTTTATATTATATTTTCATTTCAATCTGATTTCATTTTAATCTATTATAATACAACAATTGACCAAATGATAATAGTGTCATTCTATTTTAATTTAAACACATGCGGATCTAATGTTTGTGGAATTTGATGATAGATACCTGCAACTTGTGGTCCTGCTTGTGCCACTGTCGCGTTAATGGATTGTATCCTCTCTGCATCAACGGGTATAAACCCTACTACATCTGCATGTTGAACATCACCAAGTTGTACCCCTGATAGATCAATATGTTGCACCCCTGCTAGATCATGTTGCACCCCTGCTAGGTCAACATGTTGCATCCCTACTAGATCAACATGTTCCCTTGCTATGCCAACAGATTGTGTCATTGCTACATTAACACGCTGTCTCACATTTATAGATTGCGTCACTGCTGTGTTGTAACAAAAGGTCATGATTAACTTGTCACATTAAAGGCGTAATATTTATATGTATTATATGTGTTTGATTTTTTCAATTACCTCGAATCGCATTTGAAGGCAATCCACCTGAATTGGCATAGTTCGGAGATTGAATGGCATCAACGTTAATTCGGGATAAATCTATTTCAGGATAGAAAAAATAAATCATACAAGTTTTAGGGTAAGTATTAGGTTATTTGTTTTCATTAATGTTGTCAAACATTTGACAGTCATTTGCCAACATCACACGATGTGATAATTTACGAACACATTTGATCTAATAATGAATGCGCCATGGATTTTTAATTTCGTTCATAACGATAACGATAAAAGTTTTTTAATTGATCTTGTGCTTTCAAACACTAGATATAATGGATCTAAAAGAAGCATTGAACACCTCAAGTTTCTTGATCTTCGACCTATACAAGAGCGGTGCGTTTACTTCGCCGACAATCATTTCATCGACAGCCCATTTGACCGACATCGCATAGGGTTAGGATTAAAATTTTATTATTTACTGGTATATATCTTTTTGTAAATTGTCGCTTGGCGTGATGTCGGTTAAATGAGCTGTCGGTGAAATGATTGTTGGTGAAATAATACGGACCTATACAAGAGACCTACCTTCTACATAGTTTCCATTTTGCGTAATCGAAGAACTTGATGGTGCTGTATTTCGCAATGGAGCAAGTAAGAATTTAAAGGTAGCATAGAATGAGTTAGTATTCATTAATCTTTTTTTTTAAAAAAAAAAATGAAAGAATTGACTATTGAAACTATCTTTATAAATCCACTACATAACCCTTTCATATTTTTGCGATAATATAATGTAAAAAAGAATAATTTCATAATTTTCCTTACTTCCTACAGTCAAAGATGATTCAAAGCTGCAATTTGAACCACTTTTGGTGCATTTATCACAGGGCTTGTAATCGTTGCATCCAAGATGCAGTCGACGACAGCGATCACACGCTTGACCTTGGCTCACTCGTTGCCGAGGTCTATTCATATCGTGGATAGTATAACTCCTATTGTAGTATTGGAGCGTATAGATCCCGGTAATGTCTTGGTCAGTAGAATCTCTATCCATTTTTTAAGAAAGAAATAATAACAACTTTTTTAAATATATTCTCTTTGGTATATTTATATGATTTTTTGGCGGTTTTACACCGTTTAATGATTCACGCACTAACTAATTATGTACATACATACTACGTACGTAATTATGCTTTATTTACTTTGTACGCATCGGAAGATATATATGTGTGATGTCTATAATAACAACACACGTCACTTAGAAAGATTCAATACATATATGCCTTCCTTCTAGTATATAAATTTAGTCGATAATTAGGATGGGATGATTCTATCTACATTCCATTGATGTGAGTTAGGTTACTTATTTTTCGGACCTTATTCTTTATTGAATCGAAGTTATATATCATCATGTCTTAGATAAATTAAATAGAATTAAATAAAAAGAAAAAATTAGTTTGAAACAGAATTATCACATTTGCAGCAGAGGCATTTTAAATTTTACGTTAATTTATTACAAGTAAAAAAAATTCGTGTTTAAACGTTGTACAGATCCGATAGCGGGTCGGGAACACCAGTAGTGTTACGAGTGATCCGATACCTAATTTACATATAATCGACAAAATTGTTTGGAACACCATTTTTGTATTTCAGGATGAACGGAGATTAAATTTACTGGCAAATACGTATTAACTGGCAAGGATAGTTTTCATTAATAATGGTTCTATGATTCTATAAATTCCGGACACGATATTATTAAAACAGTGTTGAACACAGGCTTTACGTTGGAATAGCACTGTACCTGGTACTTGTAGGCCCTAATAAAAATCCGAGAATTATTGAACAAATTAATAAATCTGAACGAAACATAACGATTAACAATGAATGTTCGTCATAGAATTTTCTGTATCATTTTCACTTGTATGGATTATATACAATTTGATGCCAAGGAAAAACCTTAAAATCACATTCCTGAGAAGTTTCTATAGAGAACTTTTGATCTACAAGTTTTCTTGGCATCATTCATATAAAGGCTGAAAACATTTATATTGTAACAAAACACGTTTGTGAAACCTAAATTTTGTAACCGAGTTTTTTCGAAGAATTTTCTTTATTAAATTTGAAAATCGTGATAGCAAGTATCCACAATCCCGTGATTTATTGCCCCACAATTATCGTGATAACGATAACGGAGATTCTAAATAGTCTATCAATTATATATTCAATCAGTAATATTTCTATCTATTTTGAAATCTGTAAAATTCTTTAAGAATCGAAAAATCGCCTAATTTCCCATGGTTTCATGATCTGCGAGGGTCACACTTTTTTGCAAAGCGGAATAAACCAATCATAATATCAGATGTAATGTAAAAGCAAAACAAAATGTCAGCTTATTCAAAAAATCGTCCACAACTCAAAATTTTGCTTACAAAAATCACCTACGTCTATAGTTGCTATCCAAACTATAAATTTTCAAATGCAAGTATAAAAATCCCATATCCTAAACTGGAATAATTATATTTAGACGGCCATAATCCTAAAAATTTCAGAATTCAGCTAAATCCCAATCCCGTTCAAATTTCAAATCCCAAACTCTTCTAATCATGTATATTTTTTTGGAATTTATTATTCATTTTAGCAACGCATTTATTACTTATTTTATAATTTAGTAATAATCTATCTTCCTAGCAAGAAAATGAAGATTTGTTATTATGGATATTAAATAAAAAGAAATTCTGTATATACTTAATAATATTTATCGCGGTTTGCAAATTGATATGGCTTTTGATAAAATTTATAGATCACTGACATGTCTGATTGAAATCTTTTGTACGTGATTTTGCGATTTCTCAGTAATCATCTGATCAAAAGCGATGAAAGTTTTTTATTTAAATTTTAATAATCCATAGAATTCAAATAAAAAAATTTCATCGAATTTGATTAGGCGGTTGCTGGGATATCCTCGCTTAAAGTTTTTTTTTTTTAAAAAAAAAAAAAAAATCGCCTATAATATAACAGTAAATAATATAGTAATTCCATGAGTTCTCGTTTATTTGAGCCTAAATTTTACAAAGCAAAACCTTAATATATTGTCTAAAAGTCAAGTTATTGCGCAGTAATCACTTTAGACCAAACTTTTCAAAATCAAGATGGATACCATGAATTTTCATCATATCAAAATAGAAGTTGTGTCAAAATTTTCCTAAACCTTTTAAACGAAGATATTTCAACTATCTGATCAAATTAAATGAAATTTTTATTTAAATTCTATAAAATTCAAGTAAAATAATTTCATCAAATTTAATTGTGATTTTCGCAAAACATTTATTAAGTTGAAACTGCGTCAAATTTTTCTTACAACTTTGAGTGAAGCAAAAAGATCAAATTCGATGAAATTTTTTTATATTTGAATTCTATGGGTCTATAGAATTCAAATAAAAAAAATTCATTGAATTTGATCAGATGGTTGCTGAAATATCTTCGCTTAGAATTTTATGAAATTTTAACACAAATTATAATAAAAATTCATGGCATCCACCTTGATTTTGAAAAGTTCGGTCTAAAGTGATTACTGCGCGATAGCTTGACTTTTAGAAATTATATTAAAGTTTTTCTTTGTAAAATTTAGGTGAGAACTCATGGGAGTGCGAATCATAGGAGAAATTTCATCTGATTGGCTGACGTAAATCATTGTACGGGTAACTTATTTATACGCTTTAAAGTACTTTTTAGAAACTTAAAAATCAACACAGACATCGTTATTACCTTTAAAGAGGTGTTAACTATTATTGTACAAAAGAATCCCCAAAAGTTCCCAAAACTGACGTACTTTCTTGAAGACAATATACGTATACATTATTGAGCAGACGACAAAAAATAACAGGCGATTTTTTTTTGTCGTACGTATGCTCAATAATGATGTTATTGGATAGTTAATATGACCATGTGAAGTTTTTTCTGTGATGTTTTGCTAAACTGATTACGTAATTTCATGCAAAAAATATCTTGGCAAAAAAATTCACATTATCATATGAAATGTCGAATAAAGCCGGTTATTGAACCACGCAAAACTGTGCACTGGAAATGCTTTAATAAACTGCTGCTTTACTACATTAGATCTAAATAACCTTTTATTACTTAATTTGAATAGGTGTAGAATCTTTAATAGTAAAAAAACTGGATTTAATATTGAATTGGGTAATATATTTGAGTTAACCGGTTTCGTTCATTTCATCGACAATCGATTCACAGATAGTACGATTCACCATCAATCAATTCACCGACAAGTTCATTTTATTGACAGTACGATACACTGGCAGTTATTTCGCCGACAAAGTAATTCTAGTCATTACCGTTAGGGTCGGTGAATCGATTTTTGGTGAATGAACCAGATCCATTATGATAAATGGAGATCTCCAAACACACCCATTTCATTTTCCGATTTTAAAATTTTGAATCACAAGCAAGATTTTTTCAAATTCTCATTTATTGCGCTTTGAAAAAAAGTATGAACCCGCAGATCATGATATCATTTCTACAGATTTCAATATAGATGGAAACATTACTGATTGAATATATGATTTATAGACTATTTAGAATCTCCAAAATTTCCCATTATCGTTGTGGTGTTACACTTTTTTGCAAAGCGCAATAATTCAAAATGTGCCACTCATTTGTTAACTTTGAAACCCCTAATAGTATTAATAACGATAAATTTCATTAACATTATATAATTTGATTGGTTAATTATTAAGAGTGATCACTGGTAGATCCATAAAAATTAATCAATCAGGTTGAATTTCTTTCTATGAGACTGCAGATGATCCACACAATCGAATTTTTAAAGTAATCTATATAGTAAATAACAATAAATTGCTAATAAGCAATTTCTATTGAACACTAAGCGTATAAAACATTATAATAATAGGAGGGTTTCAAATAAGTAAAGCATTTTGAAATTAAATGAGAGCTTGAAAAATCTTATTTGTACTTCAAAATTTTAAAACCCGAACATGAAATCAGAGCGTTTGAAATCTCCATTTAACGAATAAATAGCCTTTTTACGATAAAAATCATCATTACAAATTTATTAGAAAATGAAATAAAGATGATACATCACTCATTTGAAAATAAATGCGTTATCAATTTCTGTTAAAATTAGATTCCTGCATGTTAACTTTGAAACTCTAATAAAGCAAGTTACCTTTACCAATTAATATACTACCAACTTGGTACATTTAAGAAATGCTGTAATATAATAGTATCAACTGGTCAAATGGTCAAACTTGACCAGACCAATTTGACCGGGTCTGGTCAAAGAATTTATACTAGTCAAATCGGTCAAATGGTTTGAAAAAATATATATATATAACGATAATATATTAATAATGTAATTATATAAACAAATCAGATTAAGCTTGACTGATTTGACCAATTTGACATGATCAAATTGGACAAATTGGTCAAATATTAATAATTTTAATTTATCATTAATATTTTATATAATTAAAATCTTTAATTTGATTGGTTGACCAATTTGATCAGACTGTTTGACAATTTGATCAGACTAGTTTGACCAATGAATTTTTGGTTGATCAGCAATTTGACCAACATGATATTAACATATCAATAATAAATTGACACATTTTATAGTATATACAGTAAAAGACATTAGTTATGTTATAAACATTTTAATTAGTTAAGAACTTGGTAAAAGAAAGCTAGTAAGCTTCTTAGATTTAGTTTAGATTAAGCAAGTTTGAAATTTAAATTTTACTGTTTTTAACCTTTAAAATAGACTTAAATAGACTTAATCTTAATTAAGAGTTTGGTTTAAATCTGGTTTAAAATTTGCAAACTAGTTTGAGTTCAAATATATATATTTTTTTTAATGCTAAACAAGTTTGTTTAGCAAATAAAATTAAAATAATTAGTAAAGTTTTAAAATTCATAAGATTTATAAAATTTATTAATAAATTTTATAAAATTTTATAATTCTTAAAATTTTATTAATTAATTTTAACTTTATATACTAAATAAACTTGTTTAGTATAAAAAAACGTATTAAATTAGTGAAATTATTTTATTTACTTAAAAATTAAAAAAAAATATTTAAATTTAAATTTTTTAATCAAAAAATCAAAATTAAGTATTTTTTAAATTTGAAATAAATAAAGACAACTTTATTAATTTAATATATTTTTCAGTATTTGGCAAGTTTACTTAGTATATAAAGTTAAAATCAATTAATAAAATTTTAAGAATTATAAAATTTTAAAAATTTTATTAATAAATTTTTATAAATCTCAAAACTTTACTAATTATTTAAAAATTTTTTCTAAGTAAACTTGTTTAACATCGAAATATATTAAACTAATAAAGTACTTATACAAATTATGTGTGACTAGTTGTATTTTCATAATATATATTTTATAAAATACTAATAAAGATTCTTATTATACTAAAACAAATGTTGGATTATAACCATAACATGTGCTATCGGAATGGTCTGGTATTGTAAAAATAATTATTTTAAGTGTTGCACACCAGGTGTCATAACATCAACGGTCAGGTTATGCGATCACCAAATTGAAAGATCATAAAGATCAGAATTAAGCGCAGACTTTATTTAGAAGTCAACTGTAAAATCTTGTTTTCTTGAATTTTTTAAGCTACACATGATCTTGTGATTTTGATCTGTCACATACATATTTGTCATGTACTACACTGTCAAATCATTTTAATTGTTCAATATTATCTAAAAAAAAAATATGTATAAATATCGAGTAGATCTGTGCTGCATGATACGATAAATTTAATCTATTTTTAGGATTCCCAGTTTTCATTTGGTTAGAGTGTATATATTATACGTATATACTCTAGGCATGTACTCATCCATATCTCCTTTAGTCCCTTTTAAAATATTTTGCCGGATTAAAACAGTTACAAAATTTTCATTTTCAATGTTCATGATGAACCATAAGTTATCGTTGTCTTCAACCTTCACGACGAATAATGGCCATAATATTCCATTGCTAGGTTTCAATATTTAGTTTAGTTTTTCGATAAATGTACGTAGAAATAAATGTTTTATTTAAAGTATAACAGTTATAGGAATGGGTGGTGGTTACGCCGGAGCTCCCAAAGGTGAAACTGCGCAAAACATCGTTTTATGGGCTCTAGAAGTAAATAAATATAGAATTTTTTATAATTGTCACTCAGATTTAAAATAATTTGAAATTATATAGTCTGGATATAGACATATAGACACTGCAGCACGATATGCTAATGAGGAGGACATTGGAATTGGTATTATCAAAAGGTAAACTTTTACTGATGAAATGTCTTATATTACATATACAACTCTATTTACTTTACTTTTTTTAGTGGTATTCCGCGTGATCAAATTTTTATCACTACAAAAATTTGGGATCAGGGTATGAAAAACAAAAGCATTTTAAGGATTGAATTATAATGATTCTATAGGAGATATACAACTTTATTGTGAATACATTAGCAATTTCTTACATAATAAATTTTAATGTGGTAACGCAGATCAAGGTTACGAATCAACTCTCATGGCAGCAGAGACTTCCTTATCAAAACTTCAAACTTCTTATCTTGACTTACTACTCATACATTCACCTAGACCTGGCTCTCAAAAACGTATAGAAAGTTATAGAGCTTTACAAGAATTAGTTAAACGAGGAAAAGTTAAAAATATTGGTGTATCAAATTATTGTATAAAACATTTAAAGGAGTTGATGGACACTAATCCTGAAATTATGCCAGTTGTTAACCAGCTTGAAGTAAATCAAAGTTCTTTATGTCATAAATGTTTTGGAAAAAAATTTTCTTCAGAAATTTATATTAATATTTAGGTTCATCCTTGGAATAATCGAAAAGAAATTATATCATATTGTAAAGAACATAAGATTCTTGTAGAGGCATCTTCTCCGCTTACCAGAGGAAAAAAATTAAATGATCATATTCTTGTTAACATCGCAGAAAAATATAATAGGTCTACAGCTCAAATTTTGATTCGTTGGGTAAATATATAGATTGTCTTTTATAATATTGATTATGAATTGATTAATTGATGAAAAATTGAAAAATGTTTTAGCTTATGTTAAAATATTAATTTTAAACTTTTATAGTGCCTTCAAAATAATTTTGCCGTGTTGCCAAAAAGTACAAATAAAATGCACATAATTGATAACACCAATGTGTATGATTTCGTGATTGAAGATGAAGATATGAACATTCTCGATAATTTAGATGAACATTTTATTACCGGCGGTATATTAAATTCCTTTTTTCTTTCTTTTTAATACTTTAATTTTTCTTTATAACTTTTTTTTTATAGGATGGGATCCAGTTACTGCAGATTAATTGTTTGTGCTATTACGACTAAAATGCCTGCGACTATAATTACGACCCTTTTTATTGTAAATGTTGTTTAAGTCTTTTTAACGTATCTGAAATTTTTTATTTTATTTTTTTGCTTTTTTTTCTTTTTAGTTAAAGATGGAAAATTGAAACTTTAAGGTTTTCATTTATGGCATCCGATCTTATTCTAAATAAAATCAAAACATTATCGAACCAGTTAATTTGTCTCACAAATATTTGTCTGTTCATATTGTATAACCAATAATCAAAGCATTATCTATTTTTTTTGGTTTAAATAATGGTATTATAATGTGATATCTCATCATATAGCTTAGTAAGTTGTATATTATCTTATCGTAAGAAAATCGAGTGCTGGAAACATATTCTTATCTAAAAAACACAATGTAAATCTTCAATACAAAACAAAGAACATTATAAGACTTGCTGTTACAATGATTCGACGGAGTTCTTTTTACAGCAATGTTAATATAGATATGTAAAGGTGCACCCGGATTTTTATTAATTTATTAACTTTTGTACCGCCTTTTATCATTAAATGTAATTTCTAAGTCTTCATTCCCTTTAAATTTCAATTAAGAGCCTTTAGATTAAAAAGAAACCAATTTTAATTCTGTGGTTATAGATCGGTAAATATTTTGCATTTATCGATTACATAAAATTTCGTATAATTTGTTCAAATTGTAAACATTTTTATCATTACCTACTTTCATCATTCATCTTTAATGATTCATCACAAATAAAGTTTCTAATCGTTATATAGATTTGACAAGTAAATGAAATCTGCTGTAAGTATTTAGTCTTTTTTAAAAATTGCTTCTATAATTCTCACATTGCCTATTAGACATTAAGCATAATATGTAATTATTTTCTTCATATTTATATTACTTTTAATCAATTAATTCTCGTAAGTTTAAATTACAGGAACAGAGTGCTAGGATACCAGAAACATTAGATTTGAAATTTGTGTATGTACATGATTTTGAATGAAATATAATCTTTGATGCTTAACTCGTAGGTAATTATTACAAAAAAAAAGCCAGATTTTGTAATTTGGTATGCCACTCAGCAAAATCTTGATTCTGGTTAGCTGAAAACGTTTCTTATTACAACACACTTTATTCTATATGTCAGCTTCTAATTTGTTTAATTCTATTCCTTTATTTTATACTGATCTATCATAATATGAGTCTGCCAAAAAATTATGAAATTAAGTCCCTAACACTAAATGCTCATCAGTGATCTATAATACGTAATTGAAAGCATATATACTAGACTAAATAAGTGATGAGGTTTATTTGTCAGCACTCATAATAACTTTATAGTCGTTACACTTAATTAACCATCAAAGCCATCAGATCATTATAATTTACGTCTTTTTTGGAATAATTATCGTGCTAATATATGCTTTGTACAAATGCCAATATAAGTTTCTTTCTAGAAACGGCTAATGCATATGTTCATACAAAATCCAAATTCTTCACTACTTTAAACGTTCAAACTTATGATCTACTTAGGTCCAAGTCTGGCGTGATTATATTAACATCATACATTGGCATCATTTATTAAGATACTTGATTACTAGTATTACTATATTAAAAATAACAAATAATCGATTATAGCGACATTTCCAAATGATCAATATTTCTTACAATGATAATCAACTCAAATGTTCTATGCCTGAATGTTAAGTATGTAGCAGGCTTTATTGCAAGATATAATCAGTAGTGATTATCGATTACATCTTTAACAAGCAATGAATATAATATTGGCAAAATTTTAAGTTTAATATTATCAATGAATTCTTTAAAATTCAATAAATTATAATAAATTAAAAGTTTTTTTAATCGTCTAATCTTACAAATAAATGACAGTAAACAAATTGAATTCTAATAATACAAAGCTTCAAATGATTTAATACAAGAAATGTTCATGCTAACAATTAAATTATATAACAATTTTTTTGTATACACGACCCTATATATGAACATTGAAATATCAGAAAGTTGGGTCGTGTTTTTATTAATTCCTAAACTTCTGTATTAATAATTTCTAACATTTTAAATGTTTTTTTTTCAAGTTCTCTTTTCAACTCTGCATCGGCAAATATTACCTATAAATCAAAATTTTAATTATTAGGATTGTGTACGAATGATGAAAATCTTTTAAAATTATGTATTCTACCTTTGCATAATTATCAATATCAAACATAAAAGGTTTAGTGCCAAAGTTGGCTACAATACATTCCCCTTTTGTCGCCATTCCACTCATCGGATACATTTCTCCTAGAATCCTATAATTAATCAAATCATCTATTTTTAATAAAACGATTAAATTATTAGCTATTCATATATCATTATACGTATATAAACAATCATTAAATTAATATTATAATTACCGTAAGAAAACGTTTCAAAATAAAAAGATGGTTCTTTACCTATATGTATCCCATTTTTTGTAAAGAAAATCTCCATATTGAGAAAATTAATTCCACAACCAACTGTATCTCCAGCATTGTAACAAGGACCAAAGAATTCTCCTGTTCCTCGTTCACGATATAAACGACCATTGTCGCCATGATACCCTATTGTGCCATAAACCCATCCTAATTGTGTTTGTTTCAAAAATATTAAAAAGTGTCAAACGTTTTAACCATTTTTTCAAATCATTTTATATTTCTTTCGTAAATTGTCACCTACGTACCTGGTAATATATTAAGATCAACATCTGACTTACAATATCCGATTCCAATACACCTTAAAAATTATCTATATATATTATTTTTCTTATTTTTGTCTATTAGAACCTACAGAGTTATGAAAATAAACTTACCCGCTTTCTCCACTATTTAAAACAGTTAATTCAAAATAATATAAACCAACTTCTGGTGGAATAGGTTTATCAGCTCTAATAGCGGCGGCATCTGATGATGTTCTTCCTGGTCCGTTATATTCAACTTTTAAATTATCTTGATCTATAATAGTTACATAAGGCCAACAATCCGCTGAATTCCAATGTGTAGGTAATGAAAATGAATTATATAGATTTTTTTTATATCTATTTATAGGACTATGAAGAAGATAACTTGGTAAAAATTCTGTTGATGCCATCAATTTTTTCAAAAAAAAGAAAAGAAATTAATTTTGTGTAGAATGAAATTTGTGAAAATTTGAATAATTTGAAAATAAATGCTTTTTTTCTACTAATTGTTCGAACTAAGTACGTATTCACAAATCATGAGATCATCCTAGATCCCTAAATAAGAGCAAATGGTGATACTCATGCAATGCGCATCATTATTGTCATTTGAACTACTACATCGAATGATGTCATGGAACCATGAAAGCGATTTTAATTTTGAATAATGAGAAATATTATTACAATAACCCGCCTTAAGCTATCAATTAAAGTTATTGTTTGTATATAACTTTAATATTTACGTAGAATAGATTTATAAGCCACACGAGACTACGGACATTCCGCGGACTATTAATGGGTCACATACAATATGTACAACACTGCGCGCCATTAATGTGGTGTCATTATGATACGTCAAACCACTTTCAGCCTAATTTTATTGGATGTGGTTTTTTTTTTGTAGTACAAGAAAAAAGTGTCACAAATTTCGTGTAATATTGAAGGAGAATTCAGATTCTTGATTTTGATTGGCTAAGAGGACGATCAAACAATTTGGATTTAGTCGACTAAAAAAATTTATATGTTGTGACGGGTTTTATGGTCGAGTTCGTAGATGGGGCAAATGCGACGGATTGTCGCTTGAAAAACGATTATGTCGCGTAACGTTTCTCAAAGATAATAGAGGCGGTTTTATGATTTGGCGAGTCCACCAGAGCGATCATAAAAAGTACGGGTCATGTGATGATCAACAAAATATCCTAATATTCAGTAAAATTAGAATTAACGTCGAAGTTAATGTTGAAGTTAGGGTTAGAGCAAATTCTTAAAGTAAAATTGCTTAAGTAATTTTTTTTATTAGAGCATAAAGACTGGTTTCTTATGCAAGTTCATAAGATAAAGAAGATTTTTAACAAGTAAATGTTTGTTTTGAATTTTCTTGATTGTGTTATATTACAACAAATTATTATTTATTATTAGTTAATTTGTTGTAAATCATCACATAACCTGTAATTTTCATGGTCACCTTGGTGAATTTTGATTTGACACAAGGTCAAAACAATTTTTTTTTAAATATTAATGGTAAGGTTATGCTTTTTAATTTTATTGAAATTCAAATAAAGTTTTTACAAAGAAAAGCTTATTTTTAAATTTCATACAAAGAATAAAGACTCAGACATATAATTTGTGATCTAAACTTATAAGAGTGATTAAGGTTTACTTAAATTTAAGTATAAATAAATATGTAAAAAAAAGAATATAATATTTAATCCATTGGATAGTTCAAAAATTTATTTTAGTAATGATTTTTAAGATTAAAATAGAGGTGAACTATAGTTTAGCATATACTAATGCATGCAATTGTTATAATGTAATATAATCAGATTGGTAATATGCTATAGAATATAGTGTTTTGATAAATGCATCCTAGAGTCTGTTTTTGTTTACTTTGTGTCAAATAATTTTGAATAAGTATGATTTAATCAAATCTTTATTTCAATTTCATAGACCAATGTGTAATTTGATATCATTTCATAATCATTCTATAGTATTCATATGTGCACCTGTTTTGGGATCTACAAAATTTTCTGAATAATTAATTGTTTTATGTTTGAATTTTAGTTTGTTGATATTTAGATAACCTTTTCAACAATCTGTATAAATAATAGATATTTTTTCAACATATTATCTAAGATATTTTTGATTATTTCTTTATCATGTTTCTGCATTTTTATCAGAAAACATTGTTTTTGTTCTGTTCTTTCAATACCATTAATAATCCATATACCATCAATAACTCTACTATGATGATATTTTTTTCTTTCAAATTTAGATTTATTGATTTCAATAATGATTTCTTCATCTTTTATTTTGTCTTCATAATCTTTTAAAATATTAATAACTAATTCTTGATAAAATTTCATATAATAAGTTATTGTATTTGTTAAATGATCTGTCATCTTTTCAATTAAATAATAATTACATTTATATAATCAAAAATAGTCAAACATCATTTTTTTTTCAGTATTAAGGTGACCTCTTTGGTCTGAGCTTTTTATTAATACTTATAGCAGGTACATGTTTTATATA